TTATTCTATTGATAGTTATGTGGCAAAGTTCTTACTGATTTGGATTATCTGATTTTAAACTTTAAATTGTCATGCTTTTAAGATTTACAAAGGAATATTTGTTTTGTAGACAGCAAATTCATTCTGTCTCTGTCTCTCTGTCTCTCTGTCTCTGTCTCTNTTCTTCCTGGCCTTCTTAAGGCTAGAGGAGAAATCAGAGTCACCCAGCTAACTTCATGCCTAAGGCTGGACTAGAACTCAAAGTCTCCCTATGCCTGCCTCTAACTTGGTGCCTTAAACTCTGTACCAAACTGGATCTTATTTCTTGGAAGGAACATGCAGTAGTCAGTTGGCTCCATTCCACTTCCAGATTTGGTTTCTGGTTAGTTTATAAGGAATCTGTTTGACATTATACACTCATAAGTTGGGTCCAGGTCAGTATCCATTCAGCCAAATCCAAAGCTTAGGGCTAAATGTCAATTTAAAGGCTCATGCGGAACAGTGAAAATGGTAATATTTTAGGCAAAAACATATTAGCAGCTGGAAATTTTGCTTACATAATTCTTACAGATCAATTACCTGTATCCTATATAAACTACCACATGCCATTTCTCTGGAAACATATTGTGCGGTTGAACTTTTGAAGTGTCTTAAATCATGTTTGCAAGAATCCAAACAGAAAAGAAAAAAAAATAACCAGTTTTTCATATTACTTCAAGTGGTTTTGGATTTGTGAAATTCACATAAACTTTGTTGCAAATTATTAATGAAGGGAACTGGCTATAACAGATTTTTTTGAATTCCCCAGATGCATTCAAGTGATCATATTTTGAGCACAAGGCATTAAATAGATACAAAATATTATCAATTCTTTCCAATCTTCTATGCACAGAATCATGGAAGGGCCAGTTAAGTCACTGACTGAACCTGAGGCTCAGGGAAGAAATCCCAATGAATGCATCTCGAACAGATGAGAATATTTATGTAGCCTCTTCTTGACCAATTCAGTAATGGAAGCCCTTCACCTCCCTAGATAATTGTCAAAACTCTTTTACTACCAATCTTTTTCTACCATTCAACTAGAAATTGCTTTCCTATAACTTAACAAAATTATTATAAACCCTGTACTATAGAACAAGTGAGAACAGATTTTTATGTGTTATATCATAGTTTCATCATACTTAGTTTATAAATACCATTAATAACCAAGAATTACTCATACCATATTTTTACATTTGGTGTGTCAACGCTGCTAACATTGGATGTTCCTGTGCTGACAACTGATGAAAATGCAGCCATTTCCTCTTTCTCTTTAATGTGCTTTTTCTGGTATTTAGAAATTAGGCGCAGTAAGGGGGGTTGGGATGAAAGCTCGATCTCAGCTAGCCATAATAATAACTCTGCTTTGTGGGAACCAAGGACAAGCTGATAACATTTTGGCAGGCTGAGGCACTAGGGAGGAAGCCCGCATTTTAGGCTAATGTGATTTATGACAGCTTATTGGAGATGGGAATTGCGCTTTGTTACTTTGTATCTCAGGAGAGGGAATTTAGTTTTGGGGTTTAACTATGTAGTGCCGATACTTTGTCTCCTGAATAAAATATTCTTTAAGGAAGAATCTTGCCTTGAAGTTCTTTTGATGGGTTACATCTATCGGAACCATGACATTGTGTTCATTACTTCAGGGAAAAATGTATTTTTCTTTCTTAAATTTAAATTTATTCCCCTTTCATCTTTTTTCAACCTCACAATATTATTTTGAATTTTATTTGTCTTCTAGTGTATTAATTATTACATCCAATTTTTCCTCAGCTTAAAATCTGATCAACATTTCTTCCTTCTTTTTCATCCAACTTATTAACTTAAATATTGAAGGATAATCCTCTCCAAAATGAATAGGATGTACAGATGAGCATTATTTGAATATGGTTTTTGAAATAATTATATTATTAGTAAAGCCCGATGCTTAACATTACAAAAATAGCTCAAATTCTTTTACAAAACCTATAGTTAAAATTCTCCACAGACAAGACTAACATCAAATCAAGACAAAGCAAAACCAAATCAATTTGTATTTGCAGCATATATTATTTCCTTTCTATTTATCTATTTATCTTAGAATCCAGTAGAAGCCTTAGTTTTGCTATTTTGGTTCTTATGTAGGCATTTTTTCCCACGTCAAATAGAACCATTAATATAATCGCCCTGCCTATAGTTACCTGTGAAAATTGAAATTCAGGGTCTGTTGTTCAGTTCAGTATAAATTATATAGGAATTTCCCTATTTCTATAATAGAATTTCTTTGTTAAGCCTTATTGTTGTAATAGGATTACAATATAACCAAAATGCAAAATGTGAATGTAAGCAAATTCTAGGTTCCAGGCCACACAAAAATATGAGTTGCTTCAGTTACCAGATTTTTCTTCTTTCTTTTCTTTTATTTGTATATTAGATATACAAATATCTATTGTACATCTATTTGTTTGTATATTAGATTTATTTTTCCCCCTCAAAATAAGACTCAAGAAGGCTGACAAAAATTGAATACAAAACAATCCCAAACCTGAGTATGTATTCCAGCCTGCACCTCCAATTTGTATGGCAGTTTCTAAATTAAAAACCCTATTTTGCACACTGTAGAATATTATGAGTATGCTTTGACTTAAAGGGGCATTGCACTTATCATTGCACTAATCATTGCACTTATGATTAAGGTTGATAATCTAGTCTTTTCTCTGTATTATTAAAAAGCAATAAGCAAAAATCTTCATTCACCTAAACTATGATCAGCAGTGAAAATCAATACCTGATGATGAAACAGAAGAACGTAGGTGCCGTATATTTGGCAACTAAGATAACGATAAAGAATGTATCAATACTTAAAGAAGGGGATTTGATCTTATGGAACCAAGTGCGCGGAAGTGAAGATATAGGTTTAATTATGAATGGAAGAGGCAAAATGTATGTCAGAAAATCTGAATTGTTATACTATGTATAAAATTAGGAATTCATAGATTACTACACATGGCAAAAGTATTAATATAAAATACTTTTTGAGTATTTTTGATAAATTTGAGCATTTATGATAAATATTGTTAAAATAATACAGAATACTAGGATATAAAATATTCTAAATGTGCGACAGATCATTTTTAGGGAAGTTTCAAGTAACACTTAGGAGTATTTTGTGCAATCTACTGCAGTGGTCTTATTTTTTTATGGCCCTTGAACTACAGCATTAGAGAATGACATTTTATTCTGACCTTTCTTAAGAAATCAAGAGCTTTTAAAGTGTTTAAATATATTAATTATGTTGTTGGCTTACTGAGTTAGAAGCCATCTAAACATCTGAGTAAAGATGTTTGACATCTGGATGCATATGTGATTCCTGAATTATATTTATAGAAACATTTAAATGCTATTTTCAGTTTTGTCAACTTCATATTTTTTCCCCAAAATATTCTTATAGTCACCTAAAAACACTACGAAATGTATGGTAAACCAAGTAAAATTTATGTAGCATTATATGATGCCATCTGTTTCTAACATAATATATTAAAAAATGTATGGAATCACTTTTCTGAACTAAGGTAATATTATTTGGATGACAATCAATAGAGAGATAAACATCAGATGAATCATAAGGCTGGACTGAAAGCCATCTTGATTCACACTTACTCATTGTGGATAGATGTCTCTGATCATAGAAGCTTTGACACCAAGGGGGACAGTCAGATATGAATAAGATCTGAAATCCTCTTTTACTTTAATTTAGTTCATACAAAGTTACTCATTGAAAAATAGTGCATATTGCTGTGTTTAAAGAATTATTAGGAGGCCAGAATTGAAATCCACATTGCCAGCCATTTATAACAAACAGTACTGCTCACTATTCTTTTAAAAACTATAATGAAGGGGAAACACAAAAAATATGAGATCCCATATCTTTCTGTTCTTCTTTTATCAATAAAAACCTGGCCACTGGGGAGACAGTACTTCACATGCCCTATATATAGAAGCACAGCTATCTGGTAGAAGCTATGATGATTTCAAAATATGTGTAAGATATCACCACACCAATGATGTGAATAATTTACTTTCATAATTTTATGTAAAAAATGATACAATGTGATACAAGTATGTAATTGTGTAATCTGTGTGTGATTATGTTAACACAGCCACCATCCCTTCCCTCTGTCCTGTAGAAGGGAAAAAACATTTCATAAGAACAAGATATCTGGAGATCACCTTCTAGTCAGCATTTATTCATACACCAAATAAAACTGTCAACATGAAACCTTTATTTTCTGTTGCAATGTTATCACATTGTTATTTAAATATTATAAAAAACATGTGCAAGAACACACAGATACATGCTATGGCTGGGATTATACATGACTTCTACCCATAGTTTGTTTACACAAACAAAATAAAAATTGACAGATAACACACTAAAGCAAAGCCCAATCAATCATATTGTAGTTTAGCCCACTGTGTAAACTATGATGACTATGAGGAATGATTGTATAATTTTACAATATGTATAAAAGTTTGGCAATTTTTTAAACCAATGTGTGAATGTGCTTTAAAGTATGCAAGATAATATTCAGCCAGGAAGAATCATGTTTTATTTAGGCTCATTCATTCTGACACATTAATTTCTCATGGTGAAGTAGATTTCATCAGCAGATTTCACAATTAGTTTAATGGATCTTAAGGCATATCAGTGTGCACCTTATGATTTAAAATAAAACAATGCCTCCTATTTTGTAGGTACTCCATGGAAATCTCAGTGCACAGCCACTAATGAATCAGTGCAGCTTCATTTATCTTAGATAAAAGTTTAATGAGGTAATAAGAATTAAAATAAAAGTATTACTTTAAAGGCACCAAACAGTGAATGAGTAATATTTAGCAACAATTGAAATTTCTCTTGTTATATGTATAAGAAAAGCATAATTCAGAAACAGTAAGGAACATCCATTGTTGACTTACTTTAACAAAAGAGATTTTTCACTTACTATGTGAGAACTATAGCCACAGCATCATTAAGGACACTTTCTCCAAAAAGGAGAGTATAAAGATCTGTATCAACATGAAGCTCATGAAAAATAGCTAGGACTGTCACTAGAAGAAATAAAAAAGAAAATACGTTATGCTCAGATTTCTTTTGACTAAATGAATTAAAGGCCATACATATCATGCCTTTTTGAGGTAAACAATATTAAGTGTATAAGACAGGAAAAAGAAATGTAGCTAAATCTAGTTTATACCAACACAAATCACTATACCACTTTAAATGTTTTCATTTTTGCAAACAATTGTTGTTTACCTACTATCTTTCTAACAGTATTTATATGCCTTAAAATTTCCCTATACTTTGTTTTTCATCTTTAACGAACATTCTGTCAAGATATACAAGTTCAATGGCTCACTCTAAGTTTTGTTATTTATATGTAATTTGCAACAGCTTCATCCAGTTCCCTGTCAAACATAAGTACCTTGGTCTTGGATACATTATTTTTTAGTTCTATATTCCATACTGCATCATATATTCCAATATTTGCTGCAACTCATTCAGATTCAGAGCTCACACATCTCTAATGTCACCATTAGCATCTCTTATACATTTACCCTAATTATATTAAACAAACAAGAGGTCATCATGCTTCTTTATCATACTCCTTGCTCAGTATTGAACTGTTCACTGAGCATCCCATTTATTCTCACATGCTTTATTTCTATTGGAAACACTTCTGTCACATTCACCAACCAATATTAATTTCATATTTACACAAAATGTTTTATAACTCACTTTCTGATATGCGTTCTCTAAATGAACAAATGCACAATAAACAATATTTTTCATTTCATATATTTCTCAGTGACTGATGAAAACTATGTTATACACACATAAAGCTGCAGGACATTGTGGTGGTTGTTACTTCCTCTGTCCTTTCAGTCAGAATTCTGGCAATCTCCTTCTTAAGTACACTTAACAAAATCATCATCCCACAAAGTTTTTTCTTTTGTTATCACCTTTGTTTCTTTACCTTTTGTTTAAGGGTACAATATTGTTCTCTATTGCAACCACAATTGGGACAAGAAAATTTGTTAAGTGGTATGATCATTAAGCAAGGTATTACATGACCTGATTTTATGACCTTTTTATCATCATGGTCATCATGGTCATTAAGTGAGACATCACATGATCATGATTGGCAACCTTCCTTGCCAGCTTTCCCATTGACTTAGCTTCTTAGAAGCCAGCCAGTGAGGTTGCAAATCATGATCATGTGATGTCTTGCTTAACGACACTGGTGATTTGCTTAATGACCACAGCAAGAAAGGTTTTAATCGGGTATGGTAATGTGAAGCTTTGTTTAATGACCACATCACTTGATCATTAATTGTGGTTGTAAGTTGTAGACTACCTATAACCATTTATTTTAAGTACCGGACACAAATCCTGTTTTTGCATACATTTTGAATAATGTGCACTTAAGCAATCATATTAATGGATTTTAGACTCACTATGAACTCTCTTGTCTGTTTAGGCATCTGGGATATGTATCATGGGTGAATGTGGATTTGGCATAACTGCATAACAGACTTAGATAGATGGCTAATGAATAAGGGAAGGGTTGAATGTACCCTGCCTGGGTTTCCTCATTTGCTTCATTCTTTTTAAAAAAAGGGTAAGATGAGGCAAGTACCTTTTTT